CCGAGTAGTTTATTCATCAAATGGTCAGGCCCTCGCGTGCGGTATTTGATCCGGTTGGTGAGGTTGAATATCCTGGGTGCTTTTAAACGTAAAAGTAATGTGAGAGACTCCAAATTGTAACCTGACATGCACGTGACTCTCAACGCAAATTGATTAGAGTTGTTGATTAATTCGTAGTATTAATCTCTTCAGCTACTCTTATATGCGTACTTCGCACCCAAAGCTTCAGCTTCCACGATATCCGAATACTAAGTCTCACTTCACCTAGTTGGTGCCGCCGCAGCCCTGCTGATCAGTCAAGGCGCCGTAGAAGCTCTCCTTATACGCAGCATCGAGATAGGTCTGGAAGTTGGCGTCAATGAACGGCACCTGGGTCTTCTCATACTCAACAAGAGACAGCGCGCGCTCAGCTGCGTCAGGAAGGGCGTCCCAAGCCACGAGAGTGCGTTCAAAGACCTTGTCACCATCGGCGCCCGTGAAAGGCGACATGGCGTTGTCGTGAATCTGCATCTTGGGGTGCGTCGACTCTAAGTAGGAGATGTCGCCAGTCTGTGCAGTATCCCATACCGTGTGGTCCCTGGTGAACGACACGCCAACGGGGAAGACGGCCGATACGTCCGTGTCGCCCTCGCAGCCCCAGCGGTTGACCCAGACGACGATGCTGGCCCAGTAGTGAGTGTGGCCGTTGTCGTTGCCCTTGGCCCAGCGGACCTTGGGGAAGTAGTATGAGTACATAATAGCGGTACGGCCTTGACTGCTTCCGCGGCGGACGTAGACCTGTCCGGTTCCGCCGTTGCCGCATCCGCTTCGTCCGCCACCGGTAGGTCTCAAACCAGCTCTGCAAATGATGATTAGCTCATGCTATCTTTTATGTTGTTTCAAGATGTTTGTTGGCTTACCCGAGACTTCCAAAGGCGTCAACAGCCGGATAGGGATCACAACCTCCAGAAACGAACAGCTCAGGGTTGAACCGGAGCTGAAGTTGGCCCTCCAATCCCAGAGATGTTGCCTCGTTCAAGGCGGCGACCTTGTCGTGGTCGATCCAGTTGAGGGCAGTGCTAGTCGGACCGGCTGAAGAAGTTGAAGTGGCGATGGTAGTGCTCCACACAGATGAGGTGGTCACAAGAGAGGAGGCAGGCTCTGATGAGGTCCAGGAGAAGGGTGCGCTCGTTGAGGAAGGAAACTCTGATGGGGGGGCCGAGGATGACCACGGTGCGGAAGAAGTCCATGGGTCGTAGGTCTCAGATGCAGTCTCCGGGTCATAAGACTGAGAGGGAGTGGGGACCTGCGTGGGCGTCGCAGGCTTCTCGGTGGGCTTCTCAGTGGGCTTCTGCTGGGTGGGCTTGACCTCCGGGACAGACTCGGGCAGATCAGGCTTGTCTTCGACGGGATCCAGTTCGAATTCGGGCATCGACCCGGCGGCCCCGGAGCCGGCCGCTGCCGACAACACCGCAGTCTGTCCCGCCGCGATGGGCAGAAGCGCACCAGAGGGCGCCATGACAAAGCCACCCAGGATTCCTCCGATAATAACCGCGCCGACAGCTGCGGCAACCGTCTCTCCGTTGCTCACATGGATCGGGGCCGGCGTGGACGACGGCTTCAGGGCACTGCTATGCCATGTTGAGGAAGGAAGTTGACTAGGCTTCCGGGTAGAAGAAGGAAGCGGGCTCCATGTCGGTTTCCGGGAAGAGGAAGGAGCATAGCTACTCCAGTGAGAGGAAGTGGTGATGCGGATCGACTTGGAGAACGTCGATGGAATGTGAGATGACGTCTGATTTCGGGGAGGCACGACACTCGGGGCTGGCTTCGAGCCCGGGGCCGGCTTCACACTTGGGAGAGGTTTAATCCCAGGGTTGACGGCCCTCTCTGCCAATGCATCGCCGTCATCCTGCGACTCGGGGTTGTAAGGACTGTCGGGAGAGGTGACCTGACCAGTAATGGTCGTCGAGAGCAGAAGCAAAGTCAATGCGTGTCGGATCATGATGGGCAATTAAGGAGTGACTGGAGGACTGAGAAGGAGTGCAGTGTCCTCTGGAGTATAGCTAGTCTAATACATGGCACTGTTTGCGTGGATGATTCCTTATATCTAGGACGGGCATTTGTGTCGATGACGGAGTTTCCGTCAGCTTGATAGCCTTACTTGCAATAAAATTGGCTTTCAGCGCCAGTTTTACTGAAAATTAGCATCTCGTAAGGATGGAGGCACACTCAACTCAAATACAGTGTGGGATGGAAAAGTTGTAGAAACTCTCGGTGAAATATGATTGACCGATTCAGTTTGCTCTACTTACTCAACGCCATGAACATAGTGCCTTGGCAGGAACTCCACATTCCCCAAAGGCCGATGATGTGATATAGGGTAAGGTAATTGGAAAGGAACAAATCCGAGAGGCGGCGTTACCGACCTGCCATAGACACATATGTTTGATATTAATATGCATAGCCCGAGTAGAGGTGTATGTAGCGACATTCACGCCTGAAAACTCGCCGATCTCTCATTGAGTGCAACTCAACTTTAAAGCTTCTCCGGATACTATCTGCCACAGTATATTACTAGGCTTGGGAATCTCGAAACAAGTGACTAACACCATCCGGAGCCTTTTTCACCTGTGGATTATTACAGCGGTGGGCGAAGGTGCCACCTATAGAAGCACGGGCTGTTGAATATCGGTGAGTCCGGCTACATTGGAGAAGATAGGTAATTTGCAAGAATTCAGGCGGGGCGGGAATGGCCGAAGAAACCGAGTTGATCAGCCTCACAGACCGTTTAATCAAAGCTAGTTTGAGTCAACTCAATTCAAGCCTATATTAATTTTCACTCATTGAGAGTTTGGCTAGCCAAGTTGCAACCCCACTTCTTCCGGTTCGCAGCGACCCTTCATTTATCAAGCATGAACTAGTTGCCCCAATGTTTGCTCCGATATCATAACTTAAGGCGCAAAGTATGCCCACGAAGTGCGATGCACTTCATCCGGCCTAGGAATGCCACTTGTTCGAGATTTTCAAATGGCGGCATAGTTTTCATATCCTCCCAATGTTTTGCATCCATCCTCAATGACCCCACCTTCGAGGCCTAAGAATCATCAGCTTGAGATTCTGCCCAGGCCCCATAATCCTGGCCGAGTTGTCAAAATAAGATGGCAAAACTGAACAACGTAGCGAATCAAGAAAAGAGTTAACATTCAGCTGCCGGAGACTACCAGTAGACGCACCCTCTTATCCCGGCGCTATGCAGCTACTGGGAGGTTTCCGGTAATATCAGTGATAGACCGAGTCCGACTTTGTCTGCCATGGGGCTCATAACATCTTGTTCGAGGGCCGATGTGATTAACTAGGCGTGACGTTCGTCAAATCCAGCACAAACTCACGTGAAAACCCGTTCGAGACAACGTTCTATCATGAGGCTGCGTGGAAAACATCACTCTCACGGCCACAAGGTGTCACCATTACTTCTGTGTCGTAAGGTAGCCACTCCCCTTTACTCCTGGTTTCCTTCGGTGAGGCAAGTGAGTTGTTGTATGTATAATTTCGCTCAAAAGCTGTACAGCTACATTCGAGTGCCATAGACACCACAGGGACGAACTTCTGGAGTTGCACCACTTTGATTCCAGTCCCTTCAGTCATTAGCCAACTCATTATCGTGTTCCCTAGGTTCAGTTACTGACTACACGCGATCAGTCAAACTTACACACACCGACAATGATAGTGTCAAAAACGATTGAACTTACTCCAGGCAATCACTCAACTGAGAGATACATATTTGTCTGACCGTCCTCCCTCTCGATAATGATCTGGTCAATGCTCTTGCGAGGAAGTATGCGGTCTACGGCTCGGTAGAAAGGAGTTTGGTTGAAGATGGCCCAGTCCGCTCTCTGATCGGGTGTGACTCTGATTTCGTCTTTGAAACGCAGGCCGTACTTGGTGCGGTACTGGGTCATGGCTGTCTTTGTAGCGACGTTCTTGTCGACTTCTTCAATAACGACCCACCACAAGTCGTCGGGATTGATTCCTTTCTTGTCGCAAAGAGCCGCGAGTACTTGGGACATGTACAACTTGCCCTCGTGTTCCTCTTCCTTGCCATTGTAGGCCAAATAGACGGTCATGGTCTTCTTTTCCACGTTGATTCTGACCTTATCCAGCGGAGCGTTACCCCCCAAGTAGTGAGGAGTGGTGACAAAGTATAGCCCATTCTGGTCCTCCTCAACTGTGTACCCGTGCTCCTCCAAGATACCGGCGTAGACTCCTAGGAGGGAAAGACTGAGCAGGAGATAATAATAGAGAGAGCGCATTGTGGATAGTTTGGAGAAATAGAATCTGAAGATGATGATGCGGCCAACGGCTTCGAAGCCAAAAAGATCGGGAGCCTGTGTGATTTAAGTGAACCAGAGACCGGTAGTATTTGCTTGGGCTTGAGACCATTATGTAAATAAATGTTCTGAAACTTGTCGATCTCGTCCTAGCTAAGAAGTCTTTTACTCTTGATCTCGTGAAGCTGTCCAGGTGCCCCAATGAATTTCGGGGCGACCGTCCCAAATTTCCGCCTTTGCCTTTTATGTTTTCCACACGATCATGAAAATGTCTCAATCATGCATCATAGGCCATCAGGGATGTAAAAGAATCACCCGATATGTTTAGGTCTGTACGTTCAGCATGTACAGGCCGTAGTGATCGTTTAGGTAAACAAGCCTCCTTCTCCAACGGGTAGTAATATTAAGGTTACGGCAATTCTCTGAAAGTGGGTAATGTACCTTAGCTCTAAAGGCTCGACTGTTTATGCTTTCTCACCGTGGCTCTCCGTTCATTTGGCCGCTGGAATATAGTATTCGTGTTACGAAATGATAGCTTCATTCTCTACATCTCATGGAGCCTGCAGCTTGTTGACGTCTCCTTGCATAGGTAAGGTAGATGACACCGCCAGGAGACCAGAGATATATAATATCCCATCCAGACACTGCTGATCATCCATGACCTTCTTCGACGACTCGAACGTGATCGAAACAATGAAGTTAACTAGTTTTGCAACTTTCCTGCTTGCCAGCGTCCCGAGTGTCCTCTCGGCCACCCTGCAAGCGCGAGCGAAGGACGTGGCCGTAGATGGCAAGTGGAAGAACCACAACAACATCCACTCCCTCCCAGCTGAAGCTGCCTCTGGATCTAAGGGAGAACTTCAACTTCGTTTTCAGCCCTTCATCAAAGTTTTGGGAGGATGTGTTCCCTTTCCAGCCGTAGATGCTGAAGGCTATCTCGGGTATGTGCACATCTACTCTGTCTATAAAGGTGACTAGCTGTAGGCTTTTAGACTAACTATAACATTCATGAAGTGCCGGTCTCAAGCCCACCGGCAAGGGAAACGGTGATTGTGGGTCTAGTGAAGGCCAGCTCTATGTCAGAACTGGCATAGTCAAAGAACGCACCGGAATCATGTACTCCTTCTACGTCCCCAAAGTCAACAAGGAGCATCGTCACTACTGGGCATCCATCGTGGTATGGGTTTACGGTGCCGAAGTCAACACCGCGCAACCCGTGGGCATCAGCTACCAAACCGACAATGGAGTGTACAACGTTGGCTCATATCCCGCCACGAAGTGGTCGTCGGGCGCTAGCCTGGTGGGCAGGCCCACGCATCCGCTCGTGGCTTACTGGGGCAAGAAAATCGTTGGCCCGCTCACCGAGAACATGGAAAACACTCTCAACCTCCCAATCATCGACTGGGATATGCTCCCGGAGCCTGCGCAGAAGCAGCTAGACGGTGCCATTTTCGAGCACACCTCGGTCCCCTTTATCGACAAGAACTTTGGCGATAACTTGAACAAGGCATTCGATGAGGGTTTCTATGCCGATCTTCCGGGCGGCGACGGCGATGAGGATGGAGGTGACCCCACTGATCCGGAGCCGGCTGGCCCGATGCCCTCCAAGGCCCCACCGGCGCCCACCGCTTCGCACAAGCCTCTGCCGTCAGATATCTAATAGAACTCAAAACAGTAGGCAGATCGGCGAAAACTCACCAATTGTATTCACGGTGGATAGTGGCCAGTATCACATAAACATCAGGCGGATGTGCTTAGTTCAGGTCTATAAAGGCAAAATTAGGGGGTTATCTACTCCGAAGTAAAATAGATGTTTGTCAAATTTTGCGGTTAAGTCACGTTTGTTAATTGCCATATCACAAGATAAACAATTTGTTCCCATCGAAGGGGCACGTAAATATGACGCCTCAACTGAGATGTTCCGATCTGAACGCTCAACGTCGCTGTGCTATAACGTTCAGGAGACAACATATAATGACTGGGGCTAAAGAAATCTGTAGATCATGCTGATAATCTCGAATTGAACTTTTAGAAACGTTCATCAAGAGCTGCGACACTATCTAGCCTGCTCCGAAGAGTTTTAGAACTGTACACTGGACACTTGAAGTGGATGTTATCATGTATCTAGGCTCTCATGTGGTGAAATAGTTCGGAAATTAAGACTTATTATTCCTCGTCTAAGTATCGGATGGCCTTCTCAAGTTCTCTATGGACAAACCGTTGAACGAATTGTAAATAGATCAGTACAGACAGACTTTCGTCCGATCGTTCACCTAAGAACTGCCGCCTAACCCAACTGTCGAAAGCCGAACAACTTCTTCCAAACTAGGTAGTCATTGATTATTTGTCCAAGCCGGTAGGCTCGGCAGCCGCGGCCGTTGTAGTGATAGGCGGGTTATCGGCTGGAGGCACATCATTTGAAGGGCAGTCAGGCTCCTTCTTTACACCAGCATAGAAACCATCACGGTAGGCAGCGTCAATCTGAGCCTGGAAGTGCTCGTCCGTGAAGGGAACCTGGGTCTTCTCGTACTTGACGTCCGTCAACGCCTGCTTTGCGAGCGCGGGGAGGGAATCCCAGCTGATGAGGGTACGCTCGAAAAGCTTATCACCATCGGCGCCGGTGAAGGGCGCGATGGCCTCGTCGTGAATTTGGATCTTGGGATGTGTAGCCATATCGATACCAACATCCGAGGACCTGAAAGAGACTTCTCCGGCAGAAGCCGAGCCCCAGTTCAGGTGGTCAGTGGTGTAGGAGATTCCGACGGGCCAGATGGACGTGATGTCGCTGTCGTCGCAGCCGAAGCGGTTGACCCAGACAACGACACTAGCCCAGTAGTGGCGGTGACCGTTGTTATTTCCCTTGGCCCAACGGACCTTGGGCATGTAATAACTGTAGATAATTGCCTTCCGGCCCTGGCTCTCTCCACGACGGACATAGACTTGAGCCGAGCCACCGTCACCGCAGCCACTGCGACCACCACCAGTAGGCTTCAGACCAGCGCTAGTTCACATCGTATCAGCATGTTTTTATCCTCAAAGAGTAATCTATGCCAGAGGAGTAACTGAAAACAAAGGAAGTTTACTTACCCAAGGTTGCCCTGGGCATCTACTGCCGGGTAAGGATCGCAACCTCCCGAAACGAAGAGGAAGGGGTTGAAACGAAGTTCCAAGCTTCCACCAACAACTGAAGGCTTCTGAGTGAATGGAACGACGGCGTCATGATTAATCCACGGGTGACCACCAGAGTCATCGCCATCGCGGGGCAATAGTGATGCAGAAACGGTCTGGGAGACGGCGAGGCAGCCCAGAAGAGGGCTAAGAGATTTCAACAACATGATAGCGGCAAAGGAGTGACGGTTAGCAAGAAGCAAAAGAGTGTGGGTAGACAATGGAAGAGGTCTCAGAGCAAAGGGGAACAGCTGCTCAATGTAGACTTTATTTGCAGTTTCACGTCGGGGACGCACTATGTTTCTTCATAACCTGGTGCATGTGTTGGTGGGCGGCCGCGGAACGAGACCAAAACTGTAAATAAATTGTCGCCGGGGAAAACGAGGCGATGCCTTACGATTTCGAGAGCAATTTGAAGGACTTAGGTAAGTGCCATTATGTCCCTCTTCCAGACTCCCATCTGACTCAAGATCGGATTTGTCCGTACGCGCACCATCAGGAGACCAGGATGTGTTGGTTCGTTCAGCGCGAGAGTCTCAGTCCTAATTCACTGCTTTGTTTAATACTTCTAGTCTTGGCCATTGCCTCGTTTGTTTCTCAGTCTTTGCAAAAGCATCCTGTGCAAGGGCTTACTTGTGTTTTCCCCATCACTCTTCATTCGGCTTCCAATATCCACTTGGTCAATGTCAATATAGTATCCATTGTCAGAGATTAAGCCACAAATATAAAGGCAACCTACGTTTGGAAACATTCCGGTACTGAGCTCTCACAGTACAAATTAAGTATTCGTGACTTAAATTGGCTAGACTAAGGCAAAGTCCTAAGTCCTATAGTCCATGACTAGGAACGATCAACTGAGTTCGAGATTATTTATTAAGCTTCAGCAGTGTCTTGGCTGTGGAATACGTCAAAACCATTCCGTGAATTCGGATATTGCCGCCTGATGGTGGAACTCTCGGCACACGGGGTGGCCCGCCTCTAATTTGGACACTGTCCGTGCCGCAAGCTAGAATTCACGAGGAAATTCCCGTGGTTCGTCCAAGCTCTGGTAGCGTCAACCTTGTTCTGTCAGAAGGAACCAATTTTAATGAGGTAAAGCCGCAACAACGAACTACAGGCTTTCCAGCAGCACGCAACTGCGGTTCGCAGCTGTTTCAAACACTGTCTACCAAGGGCGCGTTGTTGCCGAGTCCGGCGGTGCCGGTGGGAGCATGCTACCTACATATACCTTCTCTACCAGCGTTCGCATACGAATACAGACAAAAAAGTGAACAATGTGTCAATGTCTGGAAATCTTCTTCGAGTGGCTCCATCGGGAATAATACAGTCATGGATTGCAGGCTCTCTCACCCGTGTTCGATGCTGTTGATTGGATAGTAGCCCGAGTCGACGCAACTCTCCATGCCTTGGACCATGTTGGGCTTATGTGCCCTGAGTAACCGAGGTTCATATGAACATTGCGTCCGATCGGATTGCAACTAACCGTAGATATCTAGCCTTCAAAATCTTCTACGATCTATTCTTGAGCCTATACTCCTCGACGTTACTGACATGCAAGAAAATGCATCTAATATCTGGGGTTGCTCATGTGCACAGGACACCTAGTATCAAGTCGTACTGGGATGAAATCAAGGCCAACTTCTGTCTCCAAGCTCTTGGATTCCTTCCAAGCACGGCCAAACGGTAAGCACCAATTTTTGCCTACTTAAGCATGCAATCCATGACCTGCAATGGCGACCACTCTTCCCCAGATCTTCACATCTTGGCAAGTAATGAGGATTCTAGGAGGGCAGCTTATCACTTGACTTTGAGCTCGTATCACTGTACGCGGATTAGTAGTCGAGTCTAGTGGGTTACTTGAGCTTACTCAGAAACACCCAGAAGCTCATGATTGATCAAGTTTCTGGATGATGCATGTCAGAGGGGGCGCAGCTAGTCCATGACGCTTCTAATACAGCAAGTGCCAGGCTTCTGTTCAACACACATGTGGGATCGCCGAACCTCAGGCCATACACGCAAACTTTCAGATCTCGACAGGAATCATTGATCGGGGAGGAACTAGGAGCCATAGAAGCTTGAAAAGGTTCCCTCAAACGTCACTACGTCTTAGAATTCTCATCTATATGTCGAGGTGATATCTCGTCGTCAAGCTTAACCCATCCTTTCACAGGTGTTAGAACTACACGCAGCGTACATTGAGTATTTGATATTCCGAGCGAAATGGAACTCAGATTCTATTTTATAATCTCCCTGATGGCAACTTTAGCAACTGGTCAAACCTGTTACTGGCCTAATGGGGTTCCGAACGATGTTGTCAAACCTTGCCCTGTTGCCGCGGGCACCGAAGCAGCCGCGTGCTGTTTCGAAGACCATCATTGCCTGACGAACGGTCTTTGCTTCGAACCTTTGACGTTAACTATGTATCGTGGGGCTTGCACCGACGATACTTTCCAGTCAAGCGGGTGTCCCAAGTACTGCGACAAGAGCGACATACCTGGAGGCGGTGAGTGAGGCTTCGATCGACAACTACTAGACAAACCCATTCATGAGTATAATTGCTAATATATGGAATCATGCCTCATAGACAGTTCGCTGCATATCGGCGTCTGGACTTGTGGTAACGCACGATTCTCTTGCAGCAACCTTCAGAATTGCGCGACCGGCAACTTCACCGTCAGTCTTCCCGGCAAAATTATGTTGAACGAAGCGGCAAGCACGGATCTCGGAGACAGTCCCGCAACTACATCGACCACTGGAGATAGCACTATTACGTGCCCTGTGGGCAGCGATACAGACCGCCAAGGCAGCATTTCTCCAGGCGCCGCGGCGGGTATTGGCGTTGGCGTCGGTGTGCCTCTTACGATTATTGCTGGAGCACTAGCTGTGATGCTTTCGCGCGAGAAGAAGAAGACGGCGAATACCACGCAAACGTTAGAGATGACTGAGAACGACGGGTCAAAAACTAGTGGTTCGAATTCACAGTTCGTTTGGGGCTATGCCAACGCGGTCACTCCCGAGGTATCTAACCAGCAGCATGTTCGACACGAGCTGCCTCAATGAGGGTTAGAGACTGTCGATTGCCTTAATTGAGAACCACTGTTATGTTCGTTGATAGAATTACAGTCTCCAGAGTATGTTTCAGAATTTGAGTTTGCTCCTGAGTTTTACACATATTGGATGTCTTGATTGTATGTTCCTAGTCTGTTGTATGAGTTGAAAAATCTAATGAAATAGGTATCAATCTCGCTATAAGTGTAATATGTCTGTGTGACCTGCACACTCATCTGTACGTAGATGCAAAGAAGAATCGTAAACATGTCCTCGTACATAACGTCAATCAAGCAAAATATTCTGCTCGACGTTTGTTGATCCTGAAAACGTCTACCATAACGTCGCGACACCGGCAAGAATAGTCGTCCAAAGCAGCACCCTTGTAGGAGACAGCGAGCCGGCAAAGTTGCCTTCGCCCTTCTGGCCCTTTTCGAACCCTCGTTCGTCTCCACCGAGGTACAAAGCACCGAGGTCTGTCAGCCCGCCGTCGCCATCAAACAGCGACACGGAGTTACCGGTCCAGGCATTGGCCTCGTCCTTGCGGAAGGCACCGAACCAGGCGTAACCTTCGACATAGTCCAGTCCATCCAAATACGTCAGACTCTCGTTCATCATGGCAAGAGTTGCATCCGTGTCTTGTTTAGGGAGGGCCATCTCCGTGATCCAGTACTTGAGATCTGGCGACGTGGAGTTGTAGAAATCCCGCAGCCCGTCGAGGTGGTTCTTGAGGCCGGTCGCGTCGCCGTACCAGTGCACGGCGACGAAGTCGGTCGGGCAGCCGTTGTCGTCAATGTCGTAACAAGACTCGTTGAACTTTTGCAGCCACTCGATACCCTGCGAGGAGCCGGTGACGACCGGGTGGCTGATGTTCCACTTGCGAGAGCCGGAGTTGCGGAAGGGCACAATGTGCTCGATATAGGCTTTAGCGGCATCTTCTGGGTCGATGCTGCTGCCGCCAGATGACGTCGTTCCGTCGGGCTCATTGAAGGTGAGGAGATGGGTGGATGATTCAGGTAGTACGTTGAGACGTGAGCTGAGGCCTGAATCTGAGGCATCGTCGACGCCGTGGATGAGCGGGATGAACGCGATGGAGCTGTTAAGGGCCTGTGCAGGCCATGTTGACCATGTGTAATACCAGCTGATCAACGACTTTGCGGAGGTGAGCAATTGGCTGTCGGCTGTGTGGTCGTCGCCCTGGAAAGCCAGCCCACGTTTTGAGGGCAGGTCGGACTGTGCGAAGGTTGTGGATTGGAGGACCAGCGAAGCTAGCAATATGCGACTGGTTCGTCTCATGGTGCCGCAGGTACAGAAATGGTCCCTGTCTAACGTGAAAGAGAGTAGTGGTTCGTGGAGGATGATCCTTGTGTGATTTGATGCACAGAAATCGGGATCGGATGCAGCCGATGGAGGTGCCGGCTTTGCAGATATATCTGACAATCTTTCGAAACTCGACTGTCCAAGTAAATGGTTGATGTTGCAATGGACAGGAGAACCTGTTTAGCTGAGAGGCCTGACAAGCAGGATTCCTTCTTGCTGACGGCTCTATCACCCATCTCAATCATTGACCTCATTCGATGCCATCGCGCTCTTGGCGAGGGGCGACTATTCGGTGACGTCATATTCCCTGGTTTCTCAGTCCTTGGTTGGTGCTAGTTGGACTGGCCAAGGCAAGCCCCCTTGCAAGCCACACCGCAACGGTCTTCATTGCTGACAATGTCACAAGAGAGAATTGAGAAGTTGAGTTAGCAAGGGTCCTGGTCGCCGTCCGTCATTGGTCTTGGGTCTAGACATGTGTTCAGCGAGGAGTGGTGCCATGGACAAGAAGACTCCCGTTCAGTTGCGGTTGTCGGCGATGAGGCCCAGCACGCCCCTGTCAGATCATGTCATCGGTTCGCCCAGCGCGGTGGAGTACCGCAGTGAGTGCACGCACTCTGAACTTGAACGGTTGATGAGCTAAGATAGGGAGCTTCCGCGGCAAGACAAAATCAAGCCCAACACTTAACTGCACTGCATACTGTACCAAGTGCACAATCGCAGAGGCACTGCAAATTGTTGCGACGCTAATCGAGAAAAGGATATGTGATGCAGTGGATTTAAACATAACTAGGTAGAGATCGAGACTCTGAAACCGCGGAAGATACCCAGCCAGTGCTCCTCCTCTTGTCGTTCATGGACTAGTGCTTTTTTGGCACAATTTAATCTACGTGGATAGACAAAACTACTATACATTGACTCTCACCAATTGAAGCCCAACTTAAGCACCTCATGTATGGTTCCCTAGAAGCCACATGTTGGGTAACGCATGTCGAATTGATTCCAAGTTACTCGGAGCTTTGGGAACATGGACGATTTAGAAGACTGCCCCCACATCACTCACAAATACGGGCGGACTTCACAGCTGAACCCGCCTCAATGTCTTTAGGAGTCATTGCCTCCCCTCAGTATGCCACATCCCGTTTCAACTCCCGGGGCTCAAGTTGGCCGGAGCTCAACAGATGCTTTAACCATGTATGAAGAAGCCGGCATTCCGTTGCAAACTCCATCATCTGAGCCGAGAGCGAGTCAGAGTCAACTACAAGATAGGCGGGTCTCGTCTCATGTTTATCAATAGCGAACTTAATTGCACGGCATGGAAGCCCGGTAGCAACTAAGAAATGGAGCTATCCGCCAGGTATATGTAGTCGACATAGTAGATACAGGATGTAGCCATTGGTGCGCACATGAATTGCTGCTGCTTGGTTCCGCAGGCACGTCCTTTACTCTATTTACGACAAGTCCAGCATCCGTACACTGCAGCTTTTCTTCCCTTGAGACATCATTCCATAAACTTTCTCTTACAATGTGGATCTCTCTTGACTCTGTACGGACTGCGGAGCTTGAGCCAATTGTAGATGATATAAGTACAAATAGTCCTACAACATCCACATTGACAATACTACCTGATTAATCACATCAATCACACTTCACAATCACCAAAATTTCGACACCTGGCTATCGAGCTCAATCTTCTGCACCAAGCATCTTTCCGAGTACAGATTCATAATGCACTTCCAATCTACAACCCTCTTCCTTGCCGCCGCTGTCATCTTCCAGGGTGTTTCTGCGCAATTTTGCACTGGCCCTCCCTCAGACTGCAATTTTGAAGACGTAAGATTGCTCACTTGTCATTGAATTCTGGATGATCTCCAGGTACTGGAAAGATTAGGTGTTAACATTCCACTTATTGTAGTGCAGAATCAATTACGCTGATCCATGGGCGATCTGCAAGTCAAAGGTTCGTTTTTGCTGCAGAAGAGCTCTGCGGTTTGGCTTTATAGCTGACTTGTATCTAGTGCACACCTAATTCAGGCCGAGATGCCGCTGTTTCCTGCTGCTCCGGATCGTTGTACTGTCCAGCATGAATGAATACAGTACTATGTAACTGAGAAAGAAAAAAGTTATGTGCAGGAGCGGATCTTATGACCATTTGGCATCTGCATGATCTGCCTTTTAAAGCGCCGAGAAGAAACCATCTCTCTGTCTATCGTGTCAACGCCATAGTAACAGTGAACCAATGTACATATCAAGCTCTTATTCAGCCGCATGAGATTAGTCCTAGTAAAAACAGTTCCGAAAACAAAGTGGCAAGCCCAACCACACGAAAGCCATTCCTTATATTCTCAGTGTCGAATCTTGTCTCAATCTTGAGCACATATTCTCTATTCCCGTGTGAAGCAGATCATCTTCGAGGCTGAGATACAAAAAGGCCAAAAGCAATGGTGCCTCGAGGGCGAATCGAACGCCCGATCTTCTCATGACGGACAACAGTACGAGTGAGACGCTTTACCACTGAGCCACCGAGGCAGGGTTAACCAGATCATGGTTGGTGGTCCACAGATGCTGGCGGGTCAACGCGGGACGACTAAGGCACACCGCTGATTTGAGTCTCACGATGCACCGACCGAGTTGTTGGAGATTGTGGAGGTGGTTCGTCGAAACATTGTACGGGGGAAACTCTTTCATTCGTTGACGTATCTCTGTGTGGATGACTAACCTCCGCGCGGGTCGCTACGTCTTACCGTTCCCCGCGCGCGACTCGTTTCGCCTTTCCCCAAGTTGGGATGAAAGAACGTAGACATCTGCGCGCGGGTGTAAGCACCAAAGAAGCCACACAGGGTTGGTACGAGGAGACACCTCTCATAGGCTGCTTTGAGAGCGGTAGTCTGTACATGCAGTCTTTGGCTGCGCATCTGTCTGACTTCAAGACGCCTCTCGCGATCGATGCGCGCGGGTCTGGCGTGCTTCTGAGAAGTCGAGAACACAGACAATGATTATCTCTCTGACGTGGTCAGGCGTGACTGGAACAGGACTACTTGAGTTGATTATGAATCAGCGGCGTGAGAGCTGAAGTTGCAAGACTTGGAGACAGAAGCGAGTAACACAATTTAGGTGCACATGGCGTTGGCTGTTCATCTTTGGTATAAAAGGCTGTTTAGCCAACATGCAACAACTCTTACTTTCGAGTACTTGCACTCCATCAAACTTCAACCTGACACAGGCATTGTCGAACCTTTGCAAAATTCAGTCAAGTCGCAGACATTCTGATCTCCAATCTTTCAATCTATCACTGATATGAGTGCCGCTAAGAAAGTTGCCGTCATCGCGACGAGCACTCGAACCCCACGCATTGGAACTAAGGTCGCGGAACTGGTGAAAGATACCATCACCACAGATGCTACCACCAATGGCATCGATCTGAATCTTGTAGAAGTCTCTTCTTTCAGACTTCCCGTCTTCGATGAACAGGTCATTCCCGCTCAGGTCCCAGCTGCAGGTGACTTCGCCCACGAGCACAGCAAAGCGTGGAGCAGGGAAATCGCCAAGTACGATGCCTACATCATTGTGGTTCCAGAATACAACTACGGCCTGCCTGGCGGCACCAAGAATGCCATTGACTACTTGTATAACGAGTGGATCGGCAAACCCATTGCTGTAGTCAGCTATGGCATCATGGGTGGCAACTCGGCGTCAGCGCAGGCACAGAAGACGCTGGAGGGCATGAAACTCCGGGTTGCGCCGACGCGACCGGCGCTTGCTTTTGCGGGTGGGGCCGGACCGGATCTGGTGGCTGCTATGGGCCACGGAGAGATCGGGGAAGAGTCGCGGAAGAAGTGGGAGGGAGAATCGGAGAGCATACTCAAAGCCTTCGGTGAGTTAAAGGAGCTTCTCAACGCGCCGGCTCATTGAGAAAGTCTAACCTTGGAGAACTGAGAACCAACCGCCGGTGCCCATTGATGGTGGCTTGGAGAAAGAAGCTTGAATTTTAGCTAGAGCTAGTTCGTGAATTCTAGATCACCTAACCCAATTCAAGCGGTGGAACTCCACCTCGTAATATCGCTAAACCCCTGTCTACAGCATCGTATTCCTTCGTGTTGGTTGAGCTACTGCTCTGCTGCCTATTTGAAAGATACTGTGCCGCTTGGCTTTGCATTAGCCGGAAATTCTCGTCGCATCGGCTCACAATGTGATCCTTTATCACTCTTCGCCTTTTGGTCTCCCTTTTCCCTTCTTTTCCACCATGCGCCTTTCATCGCCGTCATTTGTTTTCTGTCCTCCATCGTCATGAGGACGTCCGCTCTTTTCGCGCTCAGTGGCTGCGCTGCCACTGCCCTAGCGCAAGTTCATCTACCGTTCTCCCATCAACCTCAGCCGAAGGCCAGTAGCAATGTCGAAACCAAAGACGTGGCGGACCGTCGATCAGTTTCTGCGACGGATGTTTACGTGACGGACTGGAATTATCTGGTCAACGCCACTGTTGGCACACCGCCACAAGATATTTCCTTGAGGGTTTCTGTGCAGGCTGAGCATACCTGGGTCCCAAACGCCAAGTATTGCGACTATTACAACTATAGTGACTATTACGATTCTTCTTCCACCAGGAGCGCCTATTACCTCGATTCATATTCGTGCAAATACGGCGCATTCCAGAGCAACGAGTCATCCACCTACGTCAACCCCGGCACCGAGGACTTCAGCACCAGGTACTCGGTCGGCCGAGCTAAGGGAGAATGGATTAGCGACACACTAGGCGTGGCTGGCAGCCAGATATCCAAGATGATCATGGGCTATGTTCAATCGGCAGATGTATTGATCGGTGTCCTTGGCCTGGGTTTCAACACCACCGGAAGTGCACAATCTACCGCTAGCCCGAGCAGTACCTCGAATTATCCTACCGTTCCTGAACGCCTCGTACAAGATGGTCTCATTAGCTCCCCCGCGTACAGTCTCTGGCTGGACGATTCATCCGCCACGTCTGGGAATCTTTTGCTGGGTGCGATCGATACATCAAAGTTTGAGGGCCCTCTGCTTCGTTTCTCAGTGCGCACAACGGGGTCATGGTCAACAAGCAGGCGATTTGACACCTTCATCACGTCCTTCAATGGTAGTAAGTCAGATACAGATGACCTACAGCCTCTCGGAGAATCTTTGCGTCAACAAATCGACACATATGACACCTCGAACCTAGTGCTTCTCTCGCCAGATGCTGCTTTATCAGTGCTACCCGACGACATAGCCTTAGATCTTTGGGCTCTGACTGGCGCTTCCTGGAATGATGACCTCGGCTACGCGATTATTCCTTGCACGGAAAACACCACCACGGGTCGCTTGGCTGTGCAGCTGTACGGATCGGAGGGACCTGTGTTGAATGTAGCTCTTGCCGACCTCGTGGTGTCTCAAGATGTTTGGTCCCATTCGGAGTGGTCTTGGGAGACCGAGTCGGCCTCCGAGTACTGCCTGTTTGGAGTCCAGTCGGAAAATTCCACCTCGACATACACGTCTTCTTCCTATCCATACTCCTTGGGCAACACATTCCTCAAACATTCCTACATGGTATTTGACCTAATCAATGAAGAGATTGGCTTTGCGAAGACAAAGTTCAGCAGCACGCAGACGGAAGATCTAGTTCCGTTCTCAAGCCACGGAGCTCAGATCCCCGCGTCAACCAGCGTCATGCCGGATTGGTGCTCATCTACCTCATCTCAATGTCGAACAGGTGATTCGGGTTCGGGCTCCGGAGGCGGATCCTATGGCGGTGGTACAACCTACCTGGGCGATGGCTATTACCCCGGACATCTCCCGCTGGAGGCAAACCTAGCCATCGGCCTCAGTGTCGGTGTCTTCTGCACTATGGTCATGGGTCTGTCTATCTGGGCCATCAGACGAGGCCGTCGCATTAGAAAGGCCCAGAAAGAGCTGGCTGAAAAGCAAGCCGACGTGGGACCCGGCGGCGAGACACAGGTCGGGGCCGCCGATGGAAATGCTGGCAATTTGGCTCAAGAAGCCTTGCGTCCTCAACATCCGCCAGCTGCAGTGACTCGAGATCCTTCTGTAACAGATGCAGATGCAGAGCAACGTGCTACTGGAATTGTGGGAACTGCCAAGTGAGAGAGTAGCGTTTGCCAGACAAATCTAATGCAACAATCAATTTGCCCGTGCCTCGCAGCAGGGGATTCAATCGCTGAAACAATAAACTCATGGCGCTTCTGCCTCCTCACTCTGATCCTTCGACGATATATACTGCCGAAGGCCGGGGTCAACGTCAGTTGCAAACCAAAGTAACGTGCGGACCGAACCGATTTCCTTCCATGGCTAAGGCAGTCACGAGATGTGGCAAGTTGATTGCCGGATAGCGACTCGGGAGGGAGTCAACATTCACAACGTCGTAGTAGTTGCTGGTTGCCTAAATCCCGAGTATCATCCTGGCGTCGAGTGGTGGTTCGTTCCTCCTTGTAGATCCTAATCTTGAGCACCCGCTGCTTCGGTTTCCACTTGCAACGTTGCAGATCATATATCACTTAGAGAGAGCCTCATGGGCATTGCAGATGGCATAGAAAACCTCGGGGTCAACCGCCGACACAACTCTGCAATATGCAAGACATCAGATGGCAGCTGCTCAGATGGTGTTGGTATCAATAAGGGTGCCCCTGATGTAGCCGTTCTTGACGAAAGGGCGGAGCGGGTGATGTGCCGCTGCCGCCTTATCACATTTTCACCTTCCTGAAGAGAATGGTGAGTTCCGTAGGATTTCTTTCGATGTGGTGCTTGGGCCGGGGTAACTCTGAACCGAGTTTGGCTGTTTCTGTTGCGGGTCAGTCTCTCTTTTGACAGCCTGTCTTGTTCAGTTGTCTCGGCAGTGCAAGTTGGCTTGAGTTATCAAAGACAACAGCCACTCCATGGAATTGATAGTTGGCAAAAACACGTCACAAGTCTCTCCTATAACTCCCTTACCGCGATAAGAAAACTATAGCTTTTAGGGGATTCGCTAGAAAGGAAGCATGTGCTCACATTGGGCCTGTCCCAAACGGGCGATAAACCAACGCAGTGGAGGGTCACATTCGGCCCCGACTCGGTCATTCGCCCTACATTCGCCAAATTGTAGGCACATGGCCATTCAAGGGTAGGTCCTGAAGAATATCAGAACTCAGCCAATCTCAATGACTTTTCTTATTGTGCTAACAGAGCAAAGTCGGCTACCACCTGCATTAGCCCCGGCCCCTCACCTCGCCCCCAGCCACTCACCGGGCACCATCGCCAAATCCTCACCTTTGGTGTTGGCGCTCCCTTGACACATAGAATTTCACAGCGAATCTCCGAGCTGTTACTTGCAACCAGTACTCTGGGTGGGTACAAGAGACTATGGTGTGTTAATGGTACATTGAGCGGCCAGGCTCGCAGGTCATCGTCAACTTCATTGCTACCACTTGAACGTGACAAACAGACGACGCGCTCAAATTTTTGCACATGCACAGACCGACATACCAAGAATGAATCGCAGAAGCGGATCTAAGGGGTCTACAAGCCTAGTCAAAATTGACGACCTCATTTGAAGACGCGTAACGTTTCGCTGGGAATGGACCGGGTTTGCAAGTCACACCCAGACGACTGGACGTCAGGACTTGAACAATGACATTGTTGCTTGACGGCTGACTACTGTAAATAGCGTCTTGTCTAACATCGACGGACTCGATTAGTATAATATGATCAGTTGATCGCTTCATGTCCAGTGACGTGTACCTGACTTGCAGAGACATTCTCGTATTCACTCCTTTAGCAAATTATTTAACGGATCGATTCATACCGCTTTCAAGATGAAGCTTCTTCAATCATTAATCACTATGGGTGGCATACTTTCAACAGCTGTGCGCCCCTCCACGGCGGCGCCGACGAACATCACGGAGCGAGGTCTCCAAGGCTACACAAATGCAGTCTACTTCACTAATTGGCAAGTTGTTGTTAGACCTGAGGTGATAGAGCTCAGCTAATATCATTCAAGGGCGATATACGGTCGCAATTATCAGCCCCAGAATCTTCCAGCATCGCAGATCACCAATGTCCTCTATGCCTTCATGAATCTTCGCGCGACTGGTGAAGTGTAGGTCAATTCACAGCTCGACCTAGATGACTAGCGCAGGAACAGGCGAGCTAACATTCCAACCCACTCGAAGTTACACTGCCGATACCTACGCCGATTTGGAGAAGCACTATCCTACTGATTGTAAGGCTTGTTGTTCGTTGTTGATATAACACCGACACATGCTGACTCATTGGGGATCTAGCTTGGAACGATGTCGGCACGAACGCCTACGGCTGCGTCAAACAGCTTTACCTTTTGAAGAAGGCCAACCGCCGCATGAAGGTCATGCTCAGTATTGGAGGCTGGACATGGTCGACCAACTTCCCCGCTGCCGCTAGCACGCCCGAAGGCCGAGCCCTCTTTGCTCAGTCCTCTGTCAAACTCATGAAAGACTGGGGCTTTGACGGCATCGATGTTGACTGGGAGTATCCAGCCGACGCCACCGAAGCAGCTAACATGGTCCTCCTGCTTCAAGCAGTCAGAAGCGAGCTGGACTCCTACGCCACCCAATACACTCCCGGCTATCACTACCTTTTGACTATTGCTTCACCTGCTGGCCCCAGTCACTACAACGTCTTGAATCTCAAAGCGATCTCTGATGTCATTGATGCGTTCAACTTGATGGCATACGATTATGCCGGTTCCTGGGATGCCAATAGCGGCCATCAGGCGAACTTGTACCCGAACCCGAGCAACCCCTCGTCGACGCCATTCTCCACTGATGCTGCTGTCAACGATTACCTCGCAGCCGGCGTACCAGCCGCAAAGATCGTACTCGGCATGCCCATCTACGGTCGCTCGTTCGAACAGACCAACGGCATCGGCCAGCCGTTTACCGGTATCGGGAGCGGTTCCTGGGAGAACGGAGTGTGGGACTACAAGGCTCTTCCCCGAGCGGGCGCCACCGAGCTGTACGATGCCACGGCGGTTGCCTCCTACAGCTACGATCCAGCCGCCAAAGAGCTTATCTCTTATGACACCCCGGCCGTGGTGCGGACCAAGGTCTCATACCTGACAGGCAAGGGCCTCGGTGGTTCCATGTTCTGGGAGGCGAGCGGCGACAGAACTGACAGTGGAAGTCTTCTGGCGACTAGCTTCAATGCTCTCGGTGGCGCGAGCACCCAGGACCAGAGTCTCAATCAGCTGAGCTACCCTAACAGTCAGTACGACAACATCCGCGCGGGTGTACCAGGCGGTTGAATTTGAGCTTGTGATGGTAGAGGTCATGTGTTTTTCGGTCCATTTTTTCACATGGTGTTTGGCGTATTAGCGGGTTGCGAGCAACCTGAATTCTTTGATTGTCAGTTGAATGAAGCAGCATTTCTTTTACCGGGCTCGCATATGGATTCTCAGCTTTTATACTTGTCTTCTAATTACTATCAGACGAGAATTCACTACCTTTAACCTATTGATTATATCGGTTGCAGTCCACCTCACTCCATCTACCTTTTCTGCGTGTCTCATGCCGACAATACCATGCTTCAGCTTAGTCCTCCGCAGCTGCTTCCTCTTCCTCTTCAATCTTCTGTCCGTAAACGACGTGGCTTATATCCCGTCAGTAATGTAATTAATTCTCTCGGTAAATCCAGCTTACTAGTTAAGGTATGCGTGGAAAGCACCACTCTTCAATTCTTGGCGAACCTGGGCTAACAGCACCATCACCTCTTCCCTAGTCCATCCAAGCACCCCAATGAACAGCTTCAAGGTGAATGCATCGAGGCCCTCAAGAGTTTGAGCAAGATTGCACATTCCAAGATCTTTGTTGTGCGCGTCCTTGGTCCATGGACCCAGAGGAATCTTGAAGTGCTGGTGAACCACATTCTTGAAGGGAGCTTCACGAACCCAACCCTCGAGTTTGGGGCCAGGGGAGTCTTCGCGCCCCAGCATTTTGCAAGCCTCGATGAAAAGACGGTCCCACTTCATGATTGCATGCTTCTCGGTCAGTGTTCCGTCATCGCACGCGTAGAGAACGCTCATGTCTTGGAATTCAGCCCAGCCGTTTGGCGCGAGGTTTCTAGCACACGACCACGTCAGTTCAACTTTGCTATGGAACGGGACGCGATCCACTCTGTGGCTAAGTAGTCCCTGACAATCGGAGGTCTCAAACCCACTCATATACTCTATGGACCAGCTTCGGCCAATCTGCGATTGAAGCAGCCATGTATCGCGTGAAAATAAAGTCGTATTTCTCGTCGACAACCCAAGCGCTTTCGACATCATCAATCTCGAATCTGACGTTCGGCGGCACCCTGGTTCTAAATTAGCTATTAACAGCCTATGTCTGGTGTCTAAAATCCTCACCAAGCTGGTTGTATCGGGCTCAGATCGTTCCCAAAGATCTAACATAGTCTCTAAGTCAGCTTTTTCTGGCCTTGGCGGTTGACGGTTCATGTATATGTACCTCGGCGTTTGGAAACAAGTCGGCAATCTCGATGGCCCCTAATAGACAACAGCCATGGTTAAAACTGAGAATGCAAGATTGAGCCTTTCTCAATAAGCAACCCACAGATTCCGGTACCGGTTCCTATATCGAGGATGCGGTGCGTCACCTCAGCCTTGATGGGGGCGAGGAAGAACTTGTTGCCGATGGTCTTGACAATCATGGTATGCGTCAAGTCTAGACGATCCATCTCTCTCTGACATGCAATCAATGTTAGAAAGGCCGTATAGTGGTATGATTTGCGGCATTCGTACCTCATCGTTTGGAAAGTTGTATGCTGTTTATGTCGGGATGTTATGTGAGTTGTGCTGGACGGGCTACATTTCGTCCTCGATTTCTCACTTACATCCTGCCCGGAAAGCATAATATGTTCGACCATACTCTTCCGGGTAGTCTACAACACTTGATGTCAAAGAGGCTGTGTATAGAGAGGTAGGAGAAATTGAGTCCTTCGTCAGCTAATCACTCTTATTGGACGGTAATTCGGGAGCGGGGTAGGGAATTTGGCATCTTTACATTCGGTCGTCGATAGTAGATGCATCATCGGTGGTCTTTCAATAGTAAGCTGGAATGTCTCGTTGTTCTCGGACACTTTTGCAGGCAACTGACGCTAGAGTTATCATCTACTTCCAAGGGTGCTGCCGCGATTGAAACTCCGCCTTGTGCCGGTGACACAGCGGGGTCTGAGACTGGCTCAGCTGGACTGCTTGCTGTGTGCGATGCCGTTTCAGCCATGTCAGAAGTAATAGTCTGGGCCAGTCTATTAAGAGAGGATGTTGGGGGTTGTCTTTTCGCCTGCTGAATGGGCATACTCAAGCCGCTGAACGGGGGATCGAGCGGCCTTATATTCCTCAAATGATTGTTTGTGCTGTTCAGAATGAACCCCGCAGCTTGGCAGCGCAAACAGTTGTTGGTTGTTCTGTTGAACGCTTGTTGAAGCAACGTAAGTGGCTGATTCTCTTCTATACCAGGATCGAGGTGGGTTTTCGGGTGCTTGCACCAACCGTGGCCCGTACGATAACAATCACTGGCAATGCGGGATCAGAAAATAGGGGCTAATGCTGATTGGGGGGCAGATGCAAGGGTCATCAGCACTGCTTTGGAAGGGCTATCGACTCTGTGGCTTTGGTCACAAATGACGAGATCTTGACTCGAAATGTTACTGGAGAGAAGGACGTAAACTGGTCCACACATCTTGTAGAGAACGAGCCCCTCAAAGTTGAAAAGATCCATTGAGGTCACAGTTCTGTTGCTGAAAGCGCTGAAAACCAGCACGGTTTGCGGAACAAGGTCATTCTCGTTGGCCTTCATGTCTCTGGATTAATGCATCAGTACTTAGGTAGTCTGGGATCAGCAGATATTTTGACATGAGCCTTGCTTAGAATTCTAGCTGCGTTCAACACGACCTTTCCGATCGATTAGTAGGAACAACCAAGACGTACAGTGTAATCGCTCAATATGTATATGTGCAGGAAAGTCTGAGCCGGCATGCATTTCCTGGTCTGTAGATTCTTGATTAGCTGGTAGTATTATGGAGGTCGAGTGTCATTGAGCCACCCATGTACCACCAGTTCCCGAACCATCCTTACACATCAACTTTCCAAGACCTTACTTCTCCGTACCGTACGTCGTGGGGTTCTCGGTCATTTTCTTTTCATTAGTTGATTATGTACTTGACTTTTCTGGATCGTCCAAGGTTCCATTTGGTACCTACTCAACATATAATATCTCCGAAAAAGTCGTCGGGCCAACGGAGGCTTTGACGCTCAGTCTTTTACTTCTTTTTGTCGAGACGTGTTTTGTGACTGTTTTGTACCAGAACCGCTTCTTTTCTTAATTTGATTGCTGGTTCAATTTTTCTGCTGTTCAGTCGTCTAGCTTAGCCCTGCACGATGGCTCCCTAGGATGTTCGTCTGTGTCGTGGGCCACGAGGAGGCCTATAGTATTAAGGGTAGCTCTTAGAAAATGTCTGTTCGCTTGACACTGCCTTTTTGGTAAGACGTGAATAGGTATTCTGCCAGCTTTCGATCACATCAACGTCGCTTACGTGAGACTTTGGTGCCGGCTTGTCGGCGCCATACTTCCGTAACGCTCTTATACATTGGGCATTCATGCCGTAACAAAACATCAACAGAGGCAACGGGTGAGTAATTTGGTCTTACGCAAAACAAGATGGCAAATACTAAGAGAGACTCAATTCTGATGGCCACATAAAAAGCTAGACCTCTAGCCAGTTTCAGATGCAGATCAAGAGAGGTTGGAGCACCAGTCTTCTCAGAACTTGTCCTACTTCTCACCAACTTACCAAACATCCGAAAGATGATCTCGGATAATTGGAAGCCTCATTTCTCCTATGTCCGAGGGAAACACCATACCCTTCGGTAAATCTGTGTCCGTTGAGAACTTCAGCCCTGTCAAATTCATCACGCCAACTCACAATCGAAGTTTCAAGTCACAGCTTGAGAAGTGGATATGGTGGTCAAAATAGGTTAGACACATGGTCCAAGTTGTGTGCGGGAAACATTCTCCATTCACGGGCAGTTTTTGCAGAATTGGGAGTCTAGTTTGATTTACTCCATCGTCTTGAAAGCTTAACTTATGGCGATGCTGGGCCCGGGCATGCCAAGACCGCGCATCAATACGACGTGATTTCGTAAGGACGATCTGGAACATGCTTCTCGGGGCTAACAAGTGGCTAGTTGTTTTACTCAGCCTGTCTTCAGGGTCTCATGCGCCGTAAACCCGTTTCTCCCATGTCGATCGCTCCATGCCACTGTTTCCACAACAAAAATCTGCCGACCCCCTTGCAATAGTAATTTATGAGAACAATGAAGTTTGTCGACACATGACTATTACCAAATCTTCGGCAGAAATTTACATGGGTACAGTAACGTTTGGCACGTAGAACACCAGGTGTAATGTAACCGCGTGGGAAAACAGTTTACTGATATCACACGTGCAGTGATACTCCCCGCCTTACCCAAAAATAATCCGTAGTCAGGGAATATTGACAGACTTGAATTAGAAGTTGATTAATCTCCGTACATGTGGGGCTGCATGTGGCAATGCTGAGCCCAAGACAAGCACTCATAAGGCTTTGGATCATAGCCAAGGCAAGGTGAATGGACAGAACATTGATACTTGCGAATACCTCAACACGCTGCCTAAATATGCTTTCCAGACCATATTTCAGGTCAGTCAGGTCTAGACTCTCGGTGTAGCCGGGTAAAAATGAGTACTTTTAGCTGCGAGGTTCACCGCTTCCAAACTCAAGTCTTGACGTCAACCCAACCCTTGATGGATATCTGGAGACAGCAGACTATCAAAGTCTCGAGATCATCCGGCCAGACTAGTAAACTAAAATAAAGAATTATCTCGTGTTCTGAAGACTTTTCTATCTCAGAACATGGATAATTATGGCGAGACCAGGTCTGGAGGTTGTCGACAGTCTCGCGACCGGCGTGTTTGGGAAGTTACGGCTGAGATTATTGACGCGGGACGAGTCAAGTCTACTTGCTACCAATTATTCTGAGTTTTTCGTATGGGGAGGAAACTACATCACAATCTTCGTGTAATATGACTGCCATTGAAGAACATAAAGAGGCAACTGTCCGGCGTTCTTTTGCTATCACTTCATCACCACCCTCATCGTCATCGTCGCTTCTTCATCATAAACCATCTATCACTTCGACAATATTTCATCATCCTGATCCAAATCGCCAAGATGAAGTTCTCTGCCTCAACCGTTCTCTTCGCCGCTCTTGGCGCCTTCTTCGCCCCTGGCGTCGCCGCGGACCCTCATTACGAGTGCTCCTGCAGCACCTGGAACGGCCGAGGCTGGACCTACGACTGGCAGCTCACCTTCAACGCCTGCAAGAACAATTACGAGGGCGAGGTCTGTATATACTCGGAAACCGAAGTTTCAAGGCGGAGGCAATTATTGACTAACACAATCACAGGCCAACTACAACCACGGTCAGGGCAGGGTAAGTCTATTCACTCCTGCCACAACACCTGTGACAATGGTCAGGTCTAATGCTAACATTTCGCGACTAAAGTGCAAGTGGTTCTCCCACAAGCGCGTTGATGGCGATGACTGGAACCGCGTCTGCGAGGCGCAGGCTCGTGATGGATACTACCCTGTCGCCAACGATGTCATCGACTCTACCCAGCCTAAGATTACTGGCAAGTCTGGCCACGGCTTCTGCAAGCGATAGAGTTTTTCAAGAGACTTTTTAAACTCTGAAAGCGCCCAAATTGATAGGGGAATGGAGGACTTTGTTCAGAAATAGAATATTTGATTGCCTTGAAACCGAATCATTGCTGCTGTTCGTACCTAAGTACCTAAATTATACTGATTCATAATCACCATACCTTACACATAAAACCAATACTCATCATTTGTGCGCGAAGTTTTCAAAATCGTCTGGCTAGTCTTGAAAGGAGGATTCGAGGATATTGACAGACAAATATTGTCGTTATCTGATATTGAATCCTGAAAGTTCTTTCAGTCGATCCATATTAGTATCTCACCGTCGTGCTCAGCAACGGCAGAGCATTCTCAATGACCATAAGTCAACCTTGCAACTAATCATTTAATCAAGGGGAACTTGGCACGCAACTCAAGAGAAAAGTCGGCATTTCATTACGCATAAATTTAACTTACTTCTTTCGAAGCAGAATCTCGTCACAAAGGTAAGCTAAATAAGATTACTATCAAATCTAAATCATTATGGCCCAATACTAATCAAGGCAAGCCTCGCTCGTCCACTAGTGCACTACAAAAGTCTCCGGTCCAGTCACCTCGGACTTGTTAGCTAGATAAATTAATCGACACGGAGGTTACTAAGCCACAACTTTCAAACTACTAAATTCCGACACCGGGCGGATTAACTTTCCCCTATCAAAAGCTTATGTTATTAATATTCCTTTTCTCTCGAGTTCATTCGAATAAGAAGCTATACAGGCTCGTAATTATTATAACGTCTAGCAGATCCATCAGCTTCCTTAAACTTGCAAGTACATTACCCTCTCTAATCAAACGGTATAAGTCTCTGGAACTCCCGGCCTTAAAGACTTTAGATACCACGGCCTACCTATATCGCTTCCACTTCGACCTTTATATTCCTTTATTCAGATTACGACCATAAAGTTCCTCGTAGCATTAAGTCTTGCCACTACCGTCACGGCCCTAGCTATCCCTCCCGTCGAGCATTTCTCTACTTCCAAAAGAGATACTAAAGGCTCACTTCAGCTCATCGGCTCCGAGATCAAGTCTTTCGATATAACCAAGTATATTAATCCGATGTGCTCTATCTTAAATTCCGTGTCTAACATCTTAATAGTATTATTAGATCCAACGACAAAGTCGCTTCCCCCATAGCCCTCGAGAAGCGTATTAATAGCATTCCTATTCCTTATAGAGTTACTTCTCCTAAATTACTCTTACTTATAGGTATTACTATTTTATTTCATATAGTTGGAGGCTAGGTCCGCCAGGGCAGTCGTAACGTATGGACCTATACTTACAAGGGCATCGTCTTAACTAATAATAATAACAAGAAGGCGGTTAGTATCTTTGCCACTAGTATTAAGTACCTAACCAATTATATCATATCTAAAGGCAGGGTCTGGACTATAAATACTCCGGAGGGAGGGTTTATAAACACGGTAAGCATCAATATCGGAAAGGCTTAAATTCGTTACCAATTTTGTGTACCTTACATAGGTAGTATTAAGCAAGCTCAGTTTTATGCAAAGGAATTAACTAATCAGACGTAACTATTCATCTAAAGAGCATCTTATAGTATACGAACAACTTATTGCGCGTGTTACTAAAAGTCTGCTTAGCTAAATACTAAACCCCGTAGCCTCTCCGAAATAAAACAATTTTCCAAGCTTCTCAGCTTTGGGCATGCACACCTGGCTTAATATACGTGTTCTTAATATATAGCCTATGAAGGACCCTATATTAGGGCTTTAGAAAGTCAGTGAACTTTGCTATAGGTACTTTAGTTATAAAGAGAGTCTAAAATTCTCGAGCCCCAAGCACTTAGACGAATGCTAATCATATTAATGTCGCTTCTTTCTCTCGCTCCATTAGCTAATCATTAGTCACAAAGGAGATTATATTAATTCGTCACGGGTCTCTTAGACAGAAACCCTAGACACGATGAGGTCTTCCTCATTATGCGGCGTATTATTTTATACCAAAAACTAACTCGAACCCGTTATAGAATCCGAACTTCCCTATTAACTCAGGTTTAAAGTTCAGTCTAACTAGCCTCCTGGGCCCTCAGACTCCAGCTTGGCCACTCGATTCTAGTAAAAGGGAAGGAGTTCCTACTAGGAAATGATTTATGTACCCACGGCGCTCGTTAACTCCCCGCGTATAATAGAACAACTGCTATGCACATGATACGTTAAGCAGCACTTGGCGCGCCGTTCATCTTAGCTAGCAATGAGCACTGTAGATCTATGACCGTGATACTGGGTCGTTTCCAAATGATCGGCCTGCTCCGGTTCTATTCCGGGATGAAACTCCACGTGTGTCCTGCACCCGCCTGAGTATTTGCAAGTGTCAGGGAGATTAACAATGAACGCGAATGATGCCGACTGGAAAAAAAGAGCCACGCAACGTTGATGTAGATCTTTACAAAAGAGAGACATACTTTCCCTTTTCCCCAGTCAACCAAACTTTCTCAGCCAAAACACTTTCGTTATCGCTATTTGCTTTTCAGATTCTGCCGTAATTCGGTGCTTTCCATTAAGCTTGATTTTTAACTTCGCACTATTGAATTCAATCACAATGAAGTTCGCACTCGCCGCATCTTTCTTCGCTGCTATTGTTGTCGTGCCGGTCACGGCCGGATAGTGCGGCACGTTTGGGACCGACTTTGGAGCTTGTTTGAACTGGTGCTCTGATACCAACCCCGGTGCCGAACGATACATTATCGACGGATGTTATCGGGCTGTTTGCTCAAGCTGTAGACCTGCGAAGGAGCGATGTGAGTTGATTCTGGTTTTTTGAAGCCAAGCGTCGAGGAGAAGTTTACTGACAGAGGACCCGTACAGCACTCGAGGCACGAGTCTTCCAGGCGTGAAGATAACACAAAGCCATCGAGCAATAGCACCAGATCATGTCTTCCCAGCTGGTCATCCCAGCTTGAGAACCTTTCCACGAGTCCGAGTGCGACACAAACCACTTCTCAGTTCGCTTTCGCTCCCCCACAACTTTTATATCTATCGAGGATTGTTCGCAATCAAAATCGTTGTCTCACGGCTCGAGGTCGTTGTTAGTCTTAGCTCAGATACCCGATAGCAAAATATCACACACTCTTGAGGTTTTCCGCGTTGGACCCAGTGCTGCCATCAATGATACTCAATCTTCGTGATCTAGGGTACGTAAGGTACATGTAGACTCTTCCAACTGAATCCGCCGTTGCATGGGTATCATGTGTTTCATATCCCCCGATTCTCAACCATGAACTCCTCTTAGTCTCTCCCTCTTCTGCGTCTTATCCCAAGTTCAAGACTTTCCCTCGATGGCCGGTGCTTCTTCCCCACCGCCCACAACCTTTTCATATGCTGGAGCTGCCTCGCTAGGCCCATCATAAGCAGGAACCTCTTCAACAGGCGGCGGCGGTGCACTCGATGACGAAGCTACCGCAGATGCTCTCGTCCTCCCACTTGCCGTATCCTCATCTGGTGCCAGAACAAGCAACTTTTGACTTCCCTCACATTTCCAGCTTTCGCCCGCCACCGACAGCTTCACCTCCCAGTGCAACACGTGCTCAACCTTTAAGCAATACGTCACAAAGGTAGGCACGACCGTCTGCCCAAACGAACCTGCACCGTTTCTTTGACCGAGGAGCAGTCGTCCCAGCGCGTCCACTCGCAGATCCAGGACAGCACCAAGGTCTAGCGGAACTTCCTTAGGACCCGAGGGGACAACAATGGTGCTATCTTGGGCTTGGAAGAGATGCTTCAATCGCGCCAAGCAGAGTTTCCGCGTCTTGTTTGCGTCGTGAGGATCAAGAGTTCCGGGGCAAATGATGCCCGTCGTCGTCTGCAGTTCCAGCTCCAGCTGCTCTATCGTCACCGTCTGCGGTACATCCTCAATAATATCCGACGTCCGATCCCTGGATGGTGTCAGATGTAGCAGAAACGGGATGGTCGCCTCGTTTCCTAGCTGAATCACCGTGGGATACTGCACATCGAGGGTGTAGTGGAAGGTGGGAACTTTGGATGAGCCAAAGAACTTCTGCGTCTTCTGCTTGAACGACAGCTCCGCGTCAGTCATTCCTGGTAGCAACCGCTGACTGCTCACGCACCCAGTCTTGTTCCGCCTCTCCAGCCTAAAGTCGCTGATCATTGGCGATGGCACCGGAGGCGAAAATACTCTGACAGGCATCGCCGCCTTTGCGACTGTGCTTTTCTCATGCACCGCCAGCTCGGCCTCAACCCAGTACTCGACGAAACCATGCCAGCTCTTGTTGAACCCAGACCCGTCGAAATGAAATGTCCCCGGCAGCGGTTGCTCGGGTAGCCCTAGGCCAGCATGACCCCCGACGTTGGGGCGCAAAAAGCACGCCTCCTTGGCACTCTCCCCGCCACAGGCATTCACGGCCCTAGCATCCGTATGCGTCGGCAATGCGAGCGCAAAAGGCCATGATACAGGTTGGCCCCCAGCTCCGGGCGCGACGTGGACAGGTCCGCGGTGGACTACATCGCCGACGGCGTTCTCAGGCCAAAAGTTGAAACGGGAACGGTAGTAGCTCTTTTGGTTATTGCCGCGGGATACGACGAGTTTTGCCTTCGCACGGCCAAAGAGGCGAACGCGGACTGTGGCGTTGGCGGCGACGATGTGCGATTTGCGAACGATGTGGCCGAGAATGACGCTGCCTCCGTGAAGGGGCGTTTCTGGGTGAAGGAGCTGTATCGAAAGATCGAGATTGTTCTTCCTTTCCGTGGGAGGCATGATTGCTTCAATCCAAACCTTTATTCGCTCAAAAATGAATCAACTGATGGGTCTAGAGAGAAAAGAACCATCGATGGCTTAAAAACCCGAGAAAACCGCTGTGTTTAAGCAGGTCGTGGATTGCGGCGCGCCAGGCAGCGACGATGGGGTTAGCGCAGTGGCGCAGGTGGCGCTAAGCCTGGACGAAGCTGTGGCTGTGTAACATTACTTGATGAGTTGTTGACAGCCCACCGGCTC